GCTCATCCCACACAGGTCTCCAAACAGCCCTCGGGTGGGACAGACCCCGAGTCCCTGCTGCCCTGGGCTGAATGGTGCCCAGCGCCCAGAACGGACAGGCCCACGTCCCACCCCTCAGGCCTGGGGCAGCCGGTCCCCAGGGAGGTGGCAGCTCCAGGAAACACTTGAGGTCACTGAATGGAGAATTCCAGCATCTCTGCACAGTGTGAGACCTTCAAACTGAAGTTTCAGATAAATGTGTGTCCAGCCCCTGAGCTTCCCCAACCCCCTCCATTTGGCTGTGGAGCCCTGGGGAGTTGTGGTGCTCACATTATTTCCTCGCTCATCCCCTCATACCACACAGGGCTGGGAGAGCGAGAGCCACGTACCTGCTCAAGGTGCTTCCGATATCCTGGGGGAGAGAGAGAAAAGAGCGTCAGCCCCACACGGCACACAGGGAATAACCCACCAGACAGACAAAGGGGGCCCCAGAGAAGGGATTTAGACGTAGCTCTGTGCCTGGGACTCTGCAAAGCCCAACAGCCGCTCACGTGTCAGCAAAGCACCTGCCACGTTACACCCAGACCTGACGGCTGGACCCCAGCACTTGTGTTTCAGGAGCCTCCCTTCCCTGGGTGGGGGGCTGGGCTGTTTCTCCTCGGTCTCACCTGCAGGAATTCACTCACTGGCTTCTGACACTTCCCCTCCAGCTCCCCGATCCGCTCGCTGAGACGGGAAATCTGCTCCGAGAGTTTGGTGACAGTGTCAGTCCATGTTTTCACGATCATCTCGTCCAGCTGCTCCAGCTGGGCCAGCAGGAGTCGCTCTTGTTCCTCGAGGAAGTGGCGCTGCTGCTGAAACTCGGCCACGATCTTCTGCCACGCGGCTCGTGTCTGTTTCTGTGCGAAAACGGGGAAAGGGCTGGTCAGGGGCAGGGGTGGAGCCCGGGGCCCTTTCGTGGGGAGCTGAGTGCAGCAGGGAGACTCTCAGATTTGTGCATTTGTCGGGGCCTTGTGGGCTCTAGGCGGAGGGGGCTCTCCCAGCTGCCCGAGTCCCTCTGCAAGGGACGGTTCCAGGCCTGCCCTAGGCAGCAGGTTCTGTTATTCACGGGCTCAGGGGATTCAGACCCAGAGCAGCAGGAGGTGGGACTCAGCCCCACCCTGACAGAGACGGGGGGGACAGAAACAAACATGAAATGACTGGACCCAGCCGACAACCCTTCATGGGGATATTTCATTCACTGCGGGAAGGTTTCCAGGGAGAACACAAGAGCTAGACAGTAACACAATCACAGAACACTAGAACTGGAAGGGACCTGGAGAGGGCATCGAGTCCAGCCCCCTGCCCTCATGGTGGACCTACCACCATCTAACCTGCTCTTAAATATCTCCGGTGATGGAGAATCCATATCCTCCCTAGGCAATTTATTCCAGTGTTCCACCACCCTGACAGCCAGGAAGTTTTTCCTAACATCCAACCTCAATCTTCCTTGCTGCAGTTTAAGCCCATTGTTGCTTGTCCTGTCCTCAGAGGCTGAGAACAATTTTTCTCCCTCCTCCTTGTGACAACCATTTAGGAAACCACTCTCATGGCCCCCCTTGGTCTCCTCCTTTCCAAACTAAACAAGCCCAATTTGTTCAGCCTTCCCTCACGGCTCATGTTCTCTAGACCTTTCATCATTCTTGCTGCTCTTCTCTGGACCTTTTCCAATTTCTCCACATCTCTCTTGAAATGTGGGGCCCAGAACTGGACCCAATACTCCCAGCACAGAGCAGAGTGGAAGAACGACTTCTCGTGTCTTGCTCATAACACTCTTATTCACGCAGCCCAGAATCATGTTTACTTTATTTGTCACCGTGTCACACTGTTGACTCATATTTACCTTGTGATCCACTATCATCCCTAGTTCCCTTTCTGCAGGACTCCTTTCCATTCTGTATGCATGAAATGGATTGTTCCTTCTTAAGTGAAGTAGTTTGCATTTGTCCGTATTGAACTTTACCCTATTGACCTCAGACCATTTCTCCAGTTTGTGCAGATCAGTTTGAATTCTGACCTTTCCTCCAAAGCACGTGCCACCCCTCCCAGCTTGGGACCATCTGCAAACTTAATAAGTGTCCTCTCTATGCTATCACCTAGATCCTGATGACAATACTGAACAGAACCGGTCCCAAACAGACCCTCTGTACAGTGTCCATACCAATGGAAATGGAAGCTCAGGGCCTGTCTACACATGGATCTAACCCAGCAATCTAGGGTCATGAAGCAACCCTAACCCATCCCACCTTCCCCAAGGCCACACAGGAGTTTGCCCCCAAACACCCTCCCTCCCCCTGCCTGTCCCTTCCGGTTCATAACCGCAGGCACCTACCAGATACTCCTGGCTTTTCTCCTCTCCCGTCGCTTTCCATCCCAGCAGCTTTTCTCTCTCTTCCCTCAGCATCTTCACATGGGCCTGAAGAAACAGAAATGAGCTGGGAGGTTTCCTTGGGAGGGCGGAGGGGGTGCGGAACGGGGCGTTTTCCCACCCAAAGCCGAGTAACTGGTGGTCCCAATCACTGTGTGACATCGGGCCCCCAAGGAGAGAACAGTGTATTAATGACAGACTGGGTGTGTCATACTCTAACTTGTTCCCAATTCAGGCTAAGTCTTTTTAGTCATTAGAGAGAGATCTCAATTACCACCAAGCTTGATTGGTTCTTGAGAATGAATTCGTGGTACGGCATGTCACAGAGCGAATCGATACATTTGTGTTTGAGAAGATTGAACTAACAAAGTGATAGAAATTCCAGAAGCCCCCAGGGTTTAAAAATGGGCTGGAATTTCAGCCGTGAAGCCTTTGGAATTTCAGCCGTGAAGCCTTTGGAATTTCAGCCGTGGAGCCTTTGGAATTGCCCTGGTCGGACTGGCCTGGGCTCAGAGAAATCAGGGAGGCCGTTTGTCTGGCTACAAAGCTGCGCAGTCCCAGTGTAGTGGCGCTCTGTCCCTGTGCAGTCGATACTCAGGACTGGAAGAGGCTTTGTCCAGTGACAAAGAAACAGGAGGAGACTGGTGACGCAGCGAGGGCAGGGGCAGAAGTGAACGTGGCACGTCCGTGCTTTGGGTGTGTAGGGTGGGGCCTGGGACAGAGGTAAGGTTGGGCAGCCCTGGGGAAAGGAGAAGCCAGCGCCTGTTTTTACACTCGGGCTCTGTGCTTGCGAGAGGTGACCAGGGTGGGGTGCGATGTGCCCAGGTGACCGGGTGGGGACGGGAGCCAGTTCTGTGTTGCATTGCTGAAAGGGAGCCCCCAGATACTGAACCTACCCCCGCCAGGCGGGTGACAGGCACACAGCAAGCAGCTGGGCCCGTTCTCGCCGTCAGAGACTCCCAGTGTCGACCCAAAGGAGTCTGGATCTTTCCCCATGGTCCCCGGAGCTCACCCCTCGGACACCAGCCCCTTCACGGAGCTGCCTCCCTTGGAGCAGCTGCCTGGGAACGGCTGGCCCGGCATTGGGCAGGATAAACCTGGGGCCCTTAAGGGTTTCATGAGGCACAAGCAGCAGCATCCCCTACCTGGTCCTCCTGGGCCGCCGCCTCCTCCATGGGTACCACCCTGTGGGACTTGTGGTCCCGGGATTTCTCGCACACCAAGCAGACGGCGGCTCCATAGTCCTCATAGAAGAGTTTGAGTCGTTTCTGGTGTCCCTCGCACAGGCCCTCCCCTTGCCCGGGCCCCAGCTGCCGCAGCTTCTGCACGATGTTATTCAGCTGGGTGTTGGGCTTGAACTGCCCTTTCTGGAAGGGGGCCCGGCACTGGGGACAAGTCAGGCCCCCTGCTCCCCGTTCCTCGCAGTGCCCGGTGAGGCAGGCTCGGCAGAAGTTGTGCCCACAGGCTATAGTCAGGGAGCAAGTGGCTTCCTCTTGCAATTCCCCAGGCGTGGCTCTGGAGGCCATGGCAGTCGGGTGTGTGTCTGCTCTCTGATCCTTGCTCGGCCAGGCCCGGGCTTGTGCTGACAGGCAGGGAGAAGAACAAAAAAGGAGGAGACAGGAAGGGGAGGGATGAAACCAAAGTGAAACTATACAGAGGGGGCAGGGCAGAGGGAAAGGGACGGAGGGAGGAACAGGGGAAATGGAGAGAGGGGGATGAAAAGGATCACTCGGATCTGTGCTGCTGCAAGTCTGGAAGGGACAGATGTCCCCTGCTTGGCAGGCAGCTCTGCGTGGGCAACCCACTGATGTGGGACCCAACCGTGCTGAGCCCTGCAGCTGGAGGTAACTAGTCAGTCCGATTCAGGGTATGTCTAGACTGCAGAATTTTTCTGGGATATCCTGGAAAAGCTCTACCATGTCCAAGGAACGTGTCTGCTTTTCCAAACTTTTTTTTTTTTTGGAAAAACAGGCATATTTTCCACATCTCTGTAAACCTCGTGGTATGAGGAAGAACGGATGTTCCAAAAGAGGGTTTTTTTCCGACATTTGTCTGTGTGTCGACTGGCCAACTGTTGGAAAAGCCTCGTTCAGAAGAAAAGCAGGAAAGGATAAAAAAAATTGCGGTTTGCAATTTGTGTATCATTTTCGGAATGTTCTTTGTGGTGTAGACACAGCCCCTGAGGGGGAGCGGAGTTTGCCTGTAACTAGAAACTCTTCAGAAACAACGACCAGTCCTGCAGCACCTTAGAGACTGACCACACATGAGGCCGGGGTGACGAGCTCTCGTGGAAGAAGCGGGCTGTGCCCACGAGAGCTCATCGTACCATCGACGTGTGTTGTTAGCCCTGCCGCACCTGAGGGACTGCCGGCCTGGGAAGGTCAGAGCATCCAAATGCTGTGGGTCAGGCCTCAAGGGGTTTGCAACACCCCCGCCTGGAGATGACTGGTGCACCAAGGGGACCTTTCATGGTACTCCAACACTGCCCCCTGAAATTTCCCCCCCCACTCCTCCAGGCGAGCTTCTCAGGCTTGGGGACAGGCTCCACCCTGGCGCACAACACCCTGGGTGCACCCTGTGGGGGGGCATGTGCACTAGCTCCAGGCCTATGTTTTTACAGGGAACGTTTCCCCCGGGCCCGAGTCACTGCCTCCGGCCATGTGGGAGCTGCTCCCCTCCCCCAGTCCCCACACCGCTCTCCGGTCTGCACTCAGAGCTAGTCACAAGCCAGGGGCAGGTGCAGGGCTGGCAGCCGACTGAGCTGGGCCCCTCAGGCAGGGGTGCACCCCACGAGGTCTTTGCCCCAACCTGCAGCCAGGTGCTCTGGGACCTCACATGGGAACGGGGTGACCCCCAGTTCCAATCACCCTGGTGCACGAGGGGCAGAGGGGAGGTGACTTGGGACCTACCACCTGTTAGGGGAGAGCCTTACCCAGAGGGGCCACTGCAGATTTTGGTGGGGGGAGGGAAGGGAGGCAGCTTTAACCATGATTCCAAGCGTGGGCAGGGGGTGAAGCATCCACTTGGAGAGGCAGTAGCAACCTTGCCCAGACCCCACCCCCTTCCACTATCTCCCTCCTCTGTCCCCTCCCCTAATTGCCCCAGCCCAGAGCACTGCTCACCTGTGGGGATGCTCTGAAGGGCTCTGGCCCAGGTGCTCAGGGATCTGTTCCTCCTGGCTATTTCCCACCTGCCCATCTGGCCAATTGCTCCAGCACCACATGCAGGAGGAAGTTCCTCCCATAAACTCCCCGGCTGAAATTCTCTGGCAACCCAGACCCCAGGGAAGCCGGCAAATACAGTGACTATCTTTTTTTTTTTTTTTAAATCAGCAGAAAAACTCCCCTGGAGACCGCGCCTTACATGATGGGTCCAGCGTCCCACCAGCCGTCTGTGACAGGGAGACTATTGAGAAAACCTCTCGTCTTCCCATGTCTAGCAGAGGGGAGCACGGGCTGCTGGCTGCATGGGGGCGGGGGGAAGAATCTCCCTGAAACCCCAGTATAGCACCTGAGCAGTGAGGCTGCATTGCGCGATATACTGGTGTGCCATGGAGAACAACAGAGTTCAAAATAGCTGCCCTTAAAAGGGCAGGCAATTTTTTTTTCCCTCAGTAACTCCTCCCGCCTCCATACCCTTCTCCCCCCCCACCAAAAAATCCTTGGTGTTTCCTCATAAAAAAAAACTTAGTTTGGTTTTCCTTGGTCTTAAAAAGTTTAAGAAACACTGATTTATAAGACTCCAGCCTCTTCTCCAGGCTGCTCAACACACCACATGACAGGACACGGCAGGCTCTCCGGTGCCCGCCGAGTTCAACTGAGACTCCAACTTGGTCACTAAATCTCCCTGGGAGCTGGGCCGGCAGGTTTGCCCCACACCTATGCCCCTTCCCCAGCCTGACTCCCCCTACCCCCACAACTGCTGACAGCGCTGGGAGGGGGAGTTTGTTTAGCAGGCTTCCTTCTTCGATGCACTTTGAAAGAAATATCGCCATTGCTTTTAGAGTTTTGGGCCAGCTGCTCTTCCAATTGTTCGTCCACTCCCCTGAGTATATTTTTATATTTCATTGGCCAGAGTTTAGGCTCCTTTCGATTTTCCTCACTAGGGGTCCGGCTGCACTGTGTTTGTTTGTTTTTCAAAGACAGTATGCAAATTGTGCTGGCGTTTGTATATTCTTCCATTTTCTTTTTGCAGGAGGATTTTCTGATATTTGGCCCATCTACATGGGGCCAAATTTCAGGGGAAAAAACCCCCTCTTTCGGAAGCCTCCCATACACCTCGTTTTATAAGCGTAAGCGGGGGAATGGTCCCGCTATTGTGGGGAACTTTCCTGGCTTCTATACCACCCCAGTGAAATGGGCCAGCAATAGGATCCGAGTCCCCGCTCCTACTCCTTTTACCCAAAGGCCTCCCTGGCCCTGAGGGCTCCCCTTCCACTCTCCTGAGTAGCAGAGTCCTCGAAATCCCAACAAGACTGGGCCCAGGCTTCCTGGGGCTTAAGTCCCAAGTTTGTAGTTACTTAGGGCAGGGGCTAGGGTGTCCCCTCCCGCCTGAGTCCAGAAAACAGTTTGGGGTTGCAGCAGGGACACACCCCAGCTAGGGGGATCCTGGCCCAGGGCCCTGTGAGTGACCAGGTAGGGGGTCACCCCCTCAGCGGGGCAATCCGGCTGAAACACGCCGAGGATCGCGGGGCCGGAGAGGCGGCTCCCACTTCTGCCCTGGGCCACTTCCTACCTGGTTCCCTGCAGCTGGCTTCCACTATACCCATCCAGCCTGTGGCGGCACTCAGTTTCACCAGCTCGCCTCCGCCCTCCCCTGGAGTCTCCGGCAACAGCAGTGCAGGAGCCCTCTTTGCAGGTCCTTCTCCTTCAGCTGTCTCCCCTGACTGAGTCCTTCCCCAGACTTTTATAGTTGAGCTACAGCCCGGGCATGCTCAGTAGGGCTGTGGGGAGGGGCCTCTGTAGCCAGGTAACCCTGGCTGGGCCCTGTAGGTTCAGTGCGGGGCTGCCTGGACTACGGGGTGCTCTCTTCACACTGCATGCATCCTTGACCCACTGATCGTTACATACAATTCAAAGCAAATACAATTTATTAAACAGCAGCTGAATAAAAAGAAAAGAATAAGGGGAAAATGAGAAAGGTTAAAAGAGATCACAGAGCCCCGCTCTGTAGCACGGGGACATGCTGCTGCCTTTACCAAAAGCCTAGCCACCCTCCCCAAGTGAACTGAAACTGTGTTTTCCCTACCAGGAGTCCTAGTTGATGTCCTTTGGGGTTTGGACTGCTCCTGAAGCACTTGATGGTCCTCGTGACCTCTCCAGTGATTTAGGCTCTGCACACCCTGTACTGTGTCAGTCATCATTGTGACTGGGTAAATAGGAAGACTGAACTGAGGTGTTGAAAGGCAGAGACAGAGGGGCTATGTGTATGTAGAGAGGAGCCTAAGCAATAACTTTCATAGCTGGATTTTGAGCACTCGGTGACCACAGAGCCTCAGGCTGTAAGTGGCATGTCCCCTCCCAGTTGGAGTTACAATCCTTCTCCAAGTCTGGCCTGCAGGGCCTCTTGGCTGGTGGTGTCTCCCAGCCCAGAGCCTCTTCTCCCCCCTTTGCTGGTCCCAGCTGCTCACCACACCCAGCTCCAGACTATGCTGCTTTGCCAGCCTCCAGCTGCTTGTGTTGCTCCTCTGATTCCTTTGGCTCTCTGGTCTCCGCAGGTCTGCTCCTCAGCACAGAGTCTGCGCAGAGGCGTAGCGAAGGAGGGGTGGGGGGACAGTTGCCCCCAGGCGCCACGCTAGGGGGGCACTAGGCTGGGGTGGGAGAGAAGCACAAACTACTCTGGCCCATGTGACACTTTTGAACAGAGACCCGGGAGTTGGCTAAGTGTTCCTGGCTCTACACGCTGCGAGCTGAGGTAGCAGGGCCGGGTGGCATCAGTGGCCACTTTAAAGGTTAGATTTCTTTACCTAGCCCTCAGATTCCTCTGGTGCCTGGCTCTGAGGGGGGGAAGAGATGGAGGATTTGATGGGAGGGCACTCCTGGTGCTGGGGGGGCCGGGTTCAGGGGCTGGGGTGAGTGAGTAGGAAGAGAGAGGGGCCACTGGAGGCTCTTGGCCCTTTGGATGGCTCTGTGAAAAAAATAGAGACCACACACCATTGAATAACATGGGTATTGATCCCCCTGCCTCTCACATGCTAAGCAAGCAGTTTAGCACCGGAGCTAATTCCGCTGCTATGCACATCTGGATTTGTCGGGGGGGGCTGGCTCTGTGGGAGGGGTGAGTGCATTGGGATGGGGGGGCTGGCTCTGTGGGAGGGGTGAGTGCACTGGGATGGGGGGACTGGCTCTGGGAGGGATGAGTGCATTGGGATGGGGAGGACACTGGGGGGGCTGACTCGGAGGGAGAGGTGGGTACATTGGGGTTACTTACAATGTTTTTAAAATAAAGGATACTTTATAACAAAAGGAAAAAGTTAAAAAATCATAGTCTGGTTACATTTTAAGACTAACAAACATGTAGATCAGGCATGTCCAGCTTGAAGCCCACTAAGAGCCACACAAATGAAAACTGACAGCTTTCAGGGACACCAAAGAAAATGTACTTCTATTGGAAAGTTGTTACTTTTTATGATTATAGATTATGTTTTGGATATATTTTATAATATTTTTTTCAGGTCTTGTTTTAATATAATACAATAATTTGACGTGTAAAATTGTTATTTACTCATAAAATCATTTTTAATGTAATTATAAATGGAAGGTACTTTTACATTTTTTATATGATACATAACTTGTTTTGTTGAAATAAAAACAAGTATAGACCATGGTCAGTCACACAGAACAGGTTTCTGTGAAAATTTCAGATACTTTGTAAGTTTGAGATTTTGCATAAACATATAATTATTTGTTCAATTGCAAAAAAATTGACGTATGTTTGATATAAAATTAATATACATTTTGTGATTTTATTTGGAAATAAATAAAAACCAAAACATGAACAAAATATCCCCCTTCACTGCCCCAAAGCCAGGCACTCCCATATCCCCGTTCTAACCCAATTCTCCTCTGCTCCCTCAGAGCACTCCATCCCGCTCTGACCCAGTGCCTCTTCCCTCCCCCAGACCATACCTAATGCCTAGGTCCCAGAGCCAGTGTCATTGCCCCCACACATTTCTTCCTCAGGCACTGGGGAGGTGAGAGCACAGCAGCCAGCTGTAAGCAGGCACTTGATGCATGTGCAGGGCAACCCGGCCAGCCGTGATCTGCACTCGGCCACATGCTCCAAGTGGCCAGCAGGCCGCACTTTATTCTCTTATAAAATGTAGTGGCAGGCCACAAAAAATTTCGATTGGGCCGCATGCAACCCGCCAGAAGCCTGTTTGACGTTCCTGATGTAGATGGGATCATGAGCTCTTGTGGGACAACCCACTTCCCCCCGACGAAAGCTCACTCTCCCCGACGAAAGCTCATGATCCCATCTACAGAAGGGGTGGGCAATCATTTTTGCTAGGGGCCACTTAAAAATTTTTTGAAGTAGCTCTGGGTCACTGTGGAAGGGACGGGGCTTAAACAGGAAGGGGCAGGGTTACCTACAGCCCAGCCCTGCTGAAACCGCAAAACCGGAGCTTGGACTCGCTTCTACAGGCTGAGGGAGGGCTGGGACGCAGGACTCCTGGGTTCCATTTCCCGCTTTGTCACCAATTCTCGGTGTGATCTTGGGCAGGTGAGTGTCTGTGACTCGGTTTCCCCAGGTGTGACACGGGAATAACGGAGCCGCACTCTGAGGTCTCCTCCGTACCCTGCTCAGAGGGGGACGGCGTCTCGCTGGCAAATCCACTGATGTGCAGAGCTGCAGCCTTGTGAATGAATCTGATTCCCCTTCATCATCCCACAGCTGTTCCCCTCAGCTGGGCCTGACACCGGGAGCCTGCGACACACAGGAAAGGCCCCTGTCAGCACCTGTGGGCCCATCACACTCACTCGACAGCGGCTCTTCCCTGTGCTAACAGGATCCGCAGCTGCCCTGTCCTCTCCCCCAGCTCTGCCCTGGGGCCTGCCCCTCCCCACCACTGCCAGGGCCTGGCCAGGGGCTCTAAGGGCCTCTCCCTGCCCCAAGCCCAGCTCCAGCCCCCTCCTGCGCTAGCCCTACCCATCTCTCTTCTGCCCCATGGCTCCTCCTCACTGGGCTGTGCCAATGATGCCCCTCCTGGTCCCCTCCTGCCTCTAGCTGGTCTATATCTGCCCCTCTCCCGCCCCCCTCTCTGGGGATCCCCAAGGCTCCGGCCTCACCCCTTTGCTCTGCTCCCTCCACAGACTGTCAATGGACAACCTCAGCGTCACCTCACCCTGAACATCCCTGCTCCTCCTCTGCCCTCCCCGTCCCTGTCCCCTTCTGCCCACACAGGGAAAGTGACTCAAGGAATCTCTCACCGGGTCTGATCCAGCCGGGATCCATCCAGCCAGGTCCAGGCCTTCTCCGGGGAGGGGCGGGACAGTCCCACCCAGAGCTTAGATGGGCCTTGTGTCAGGTTGTGGAGGGCCTCCTGCAGGAAGGGGGTGAAGTGCAGCTGGTGAACAGAATGTTCTCTCATGTCCAAGTCGTCATCAAGTCCAGCACCAGAATTATGGGGCTGTGAGCCTGGCAATCCCCATGTAGACCCTCCCTCCCTCCATCCGTCCCCCTACATCAGGGCTTCTCAACTTTGGAAGGTGGTCAATAATATATGCCTACTGCTATATTCTCATTATTGGAGCGTGGAATTACTATCTATAGTGATTCTATGGAACATGTTGATTCGTTTAATATTTTTATTTCATTTGATTCTACATTATCTATCACATACAGTGCCACTCCGCCATGTCTCTTCCTCTTTCACAAAAGGAAAGAAGAAAAAGCCCAGGTGTCCTGGTGACCACTGTTACTAGATTTCCACCCCTATGACAGCACTTTTACTGAGCAATGACAGTCCAGGAATTTAACTCCTAAAATGCATAGAACAGAACACCGTTATATTGACGACTTTTTTGTTTTGGCTCCCACCTGTGGGCCACATGTTGAGCCCTGCGTAAACCCAAACTGCACCGCAGGCCTCAAACAAACAGGCCGCGGGCCACATGTGGCCTACGGGATGTGTGTTGAGTAGCTCTGTTCTACATCTCTCTCTCCCGCTCCCTCTGCCTCTCCCGGGCCACCCCTCCCAATATGCAAGATACACAGCCCTAGGCGGCACCAAATTACCCTGATTTCATGGTGCTCTAGGCAGCTGCGTGATATGTATGTGGCAGCCCCAGCTTCAGCAGCCACACCCCCCGACGCCCAGCCAGCTCCCAAGCAGGGCCGTCCTTGGGGGATGCTGAGCTCCCTGCCATCTTGCCCCCACTTCACCACTTTCCCCCAAGTGACATGGCCTGGGGGCTTAGCAGCGCTGGCTCAGGCAGCAGGGGTCAAACCTGCCCCCTTAGTCACCGACAGCAGCGGGAAATGAAGCGACTCCTCCCCAGACCACATGGCTCCACTGGTTCCCAGCTGCTTCCCAGCACCAGTGAATGTGGGGGCAGCTCTGCCCTTTCCCCAAGTCCCGCTTCTAAGAGCCTGGTAAGCAGAGGGGGCTGGGGCTGCTCCTGCCCCCCCCCTCCCCCCGGCTCTGACCCGCACAGCTCTTGAGCACAGCCCCTTCCCCAAGAGAGGGGAGGTGCAGGTAGGGAGGCACTGGTAGGGACGGCCCTGTCTGTCTCAGAGTATGTCTACACAGCAGAGTTTTTTTGGAAAAATGGCTGTTTTTCTGAAAAAATTTCACTTACAACCACATTGCAGTTGTGTTCTTTCGAAAAAAAAAATCTAAAGAACAGAAGGGTTTTTCCGACATTGGAAAATCTCTTTCTAGGAGGAAGAAGCCCTTTTCCGAAAGAGCTCTTTTGCAAAAAGGCATGTGAGGGCGGGGAAGAGGGAGTTCTTTTGGAAGAGGAAAGAGGAAAAAGCACAGATGCCCTGGTGACCACTCCCACAGCAATCCCAGCTTGCATGTGAGGTAGCGTCCATTCAGTGCGGACGCTAGCTTTTCACTGACCACACAGCTCTCTTTGCTGTGTAGACGCTCTCTTTCGGACGACGTTATCCGGAAGATCTCGTCCAGAAAAGTTCCTTCTGAAAGAAGCCTGCAGTCTAGACACAGCCCACTCGCACTCCCAGCTGAGCTGGGTTCGGCACACGCAGACAGGGGGGGCTAACAATGGCTTAGAGCTGCCTCTGTCACCTACCCTGATCCTGAGACTAGTGATTTCTGCTGGGCCTGTCAAAGCTGCCTCAGGAGTTTGGCCCTCCCGTTAGTAACAATTAATGGGAACAGGGACGTCCAAACCAAACCGCTGGGCAGCTGTGAAACTCCCAGTCCTCAAGTGCATCTAACCAGGCTCTGTACCCAGGCCCAGCCCAGCAAGGGCAGCTCCAGCCGGGTGTTATCGGCCCCTTTACCAGCTCCTCCCGGTCCCGGATCACCAGCAGCTGGGAGCCCCTCGCGGCGCAGTCGCTGCGGCTCTTGTTCCAGGTTTTATTTTCTGTGGAGACCCAGTAGCACTTGTCCCCGCGCAGCCGCCAGTCCGAGGGGCAGAGTTTGCACCCGGCGCCCCCTGCAAAGACACGGGCACCATTAGTGCTCTGAGGCTCATTCCCAGCTACCCCCTTCCTGTGACGGGCAGGGATGGGGATAAATGGGTTTGAATTAGAGATGTTCCATAGTGGTTAACTGAACAGTCGAGTAACTGCATGAATTCGTATCCCTTACTCGATTATTCTATAGTCAGCTGCCCGTGCGCTCCAGCCCCACTCCCAAGGAGCCCCTTGCCCACCCACCCTGCTGCCTCTGTATCAGGGGCAGCAGCAGAGGGT